CCTTCCAGTATTGGTCATGGGAGAACTGTATACCAGGTTTGGTTCCATTGTTGGTGGAGTTCAGAATGCTCTTTGATTGTAGGTGAACTATAAATCCCAGCAACTACAACTCCAAAATGACAAAATCATTTTTTTTGAGCGAAGGACATACATTGGGTTGTTAGGTGTCTTGTGTCCAAATTTGGTGACAATTCGTCCAGTGGTTTTTGAGTTCTGTTAATGCCACAAATGAACATTACATTTTTATTTATATAGATTTTCTACTAATTCATCAGAGGCTTGGTAGACATTCAAAAGGCTTGATGTCAGAAACTGAAATTCAAGGTGCTTTATTACCTGCCTGCTTCCAATATTTTATCCTTATACACTAACATAAAATATGTTAATATATATCTGTGATATCAAAGCAGATGCTACTGAGTTCAAGGCATAACTTTGGCACTTGTAAGGTTACCTTTTAAGTGAATATTGTTTTATTGTTTTTCAAGAAAGAGGAATCCCTGAGAGCTTGAACCCTTGTAGAGCTGATTAGTTGGGACAAGTTAACTTTCAAATTTCAGCATGCCTGTTGCATTTCTTCTAATATTATAGTATTAGAAAACCATATCAACTACTGCTAGCTCTACAGTTATCAGCCTTTACTACCCATTTCACAATGTTTTATGTCTTCAAGTCATTTTCAATTTATGGTGATCATAAGGTGAATCAATTTCTGCATTTTCTTGTTGACATTTGTTCAAAGGGTTTGTTGTTGCTTTCCTCTGAGGCTGAGAGAATGTGACTCACCCAAGGTCACCTACTGGGTTTCCATGGCTGGGAGAGATTCACAGTGTGATCTCCATAGTCATAGGTGGAGCTCAAAACAGTACTGTATATCACATTGGCTCAGTTTCAAAATTATTTCATACATTTTTTCATTATTTCATACATTTATGATCAAAGTGAATTCACTTAAGTGTTGTTTTTCGTTTTTGTTTTAATTTTAATATTTTTAATATTTGTTTCTCGTTGTGTGATTGAGATTTATGTAATTTCCAGTCTTGTTAAATGCTATAGTCTCAAAACCATGGTTGCAAACAGTAGTTTCTGTTACTTTGCTGGCATGATGAATATGCCTCCTTACTCAGAAAGATCAGATTGTATATGTGATTTCAAAAATCCCTGAGATTATAATATTTAAGTTTTTGTGAACTTTAGTGAAAGTTTAGTGAGTGGCCTGTGACGAGATGCCTCTATTACCTATCCTTTTTCATGGATGGAACAGATGGAATAGATATGAATCCGTAGTTTTGTTCTGATGCATATTCCATTTCTAGTTGTGGAATTTCTCTTAAGGACAGAAGAGTGGGTAGTAGAAAGCAGAGTTCTGGTGCTTGAAAGGAAACAGAGGGTCAGGTAAGGACAAGGAGCCAGGTATAAGGATGAGAATGAACAACTGCCACTGATAAATGTATACATGTGGAGCGGGAAAGAGTAGGCGACGTGTTCTAAAGTTCCTGACACACCAAGGGAAGTTGCATGGAGATGAGAGATATCGTATTTGATGAGAAACCACATCGCATGAAAGCTTAATACTCTGATGTGCACACCATAATTAAGAGATATAGCTTAATTAAGAGATTTGGGTTATCTTCAAGAATAGTTGCCAATAGTTTTAATTTCTATACTGCCAATACCAAAAAGGAAATATATAGGCTTGGTGAAAGAAGAAAGCACAGCAGTAGTCTCACTGTTTTTCATTACCAGTCTAAGGATGGTCCACGCTCTGGTTTTCATTACCAGTCTAAGGATGGTCCATGGTGGTCCACGCTCTGGTTACATCCCGTATAGACTACTGCAACGCTCTCTACGTGGGGTTGCCATTGAAGACTGTTCGGAAGCTCCAAATGGTCCAATGGGCGGCATCCAGGTTGCTAACAGGAGCGGCGCCCAGGGAGCATACAACTCTGTTGCGCCAGCTCCACTGGCTGCCAATTTGCTACCGAGCACAATTCAAATTGCTGGCTTTAGCCTATAAAGCCCTAAACGGTTCTGGCCCTGCTTACCTGTCCGAACGTATCTCTCCTTACGAATCCTCTAGGAATTTAAGATCTTCTGGGGAGGCCCTGCTCTCGGCCCTGCCATCTTCACAGGCTCGATTGGCGGGGACGAGGGATAGGGCCTTCTCAGCGGTGGCCCCTTGGTTGTGGAATGCCCTCCCCAGGGACATTAGATCAGCCCCCACCCTCTTAACGTTTCGCAAAAAAATTAAAACCTGGCTATATGAGCAGGCCTTCCCAAACGCAGTGTAGCTATTAAACTCTGATCTCGGAACGGCTGGACAACGTGACTGGATAATGACTGGTAATGAAATGCGGAGGACTTATGGTTTTTATTGTGTTACTGATGTCAGTTGTAATGAATTTTTACCTGTGTTAAATGTTTTTAATGTTTAAATTATTTTTGTACTGTTGTGGGCATCAAATTGTGCCATTTTGTAAACCGCCATGAGTCGCCCTCGGGCCGAGAATGCGGTATAGAAGCTTAGTAAATAAATAAGGATGATTAATAAATTCTAGTTATTTTAAAAAATCTATTTTATTTCTTTCGTGCATAGGTGGTGGGCAGAGGAATTGATTGATCTCGGTCTTCCACAATGTATTTAGTTTTTGCCTCAGTGATCCATGGTCTCTCAAAGGTTGGAAACCACTATTCTCGGGCATATGTGGCCTCATCTATATAAATAAAAATGTAATGTTTGTTTGTGGGATTAACACAACTCAAAAACTACTGTTACGAATTGACACCAAATTTGGACATAATACACCTATCAGGCCAACGAGTGACCATCACTCATAAAACACTGAAAACTACAGTGGAAGGGACTTAAAAAGCCAAAAAACAAAAATTACATTATAACGCATGCTCAAAACCACACACACACACACACACACACACACACACATCTATATAAATAAAAATGTAATGTTAGTTTGTGGGATTAACACAACTCAAAAACCACTGGATGAATCAGCACCAAGTTTGGACACAATACACCTATCAGGCCAATGAGTGACCATCACTCATAAAAACACTGAAAACTACAGTGAAAGGGACTTAAAAAGCCAAAAAACAAAAATTACATTATAATGCATGCACGAAACCACACACGCACATATATCTATATAAATAAAAATGTAAAGTTCGTTTGTGGGATTAACATAACAAAAACTACTGGATGAATCGACACTAAATTTGGACACAAGACACCTCTCAGGCCAACGAGTGACCATCACTCATAAAAACACTGAAAAACACAGTGGAAGGGACTTAAAAAGACAATTAAAAAAAACATTACAATGCATGCGCAAAACCACATATATACATACAAACACACATATATACACAAATATATACACACAGGTAAAGTTTTCTCCTGACATTAAGTCCAGTCGTGTCTGACTGGGGGTTGGTGCTCATTTCCATATGTGTATATACACATGAATCCCCCTGCAGGGGTTGAGAAGGGTACAAATAATTGAAATTAAAAATATATATACATAAGTATATACACATACACACCTGTACACACCCAAAGCACATACACACAGACTGGGCCACAGCAATGCGTGGCAGGGGACAGCTAATTCTCTATATTAAACCTTGTGAAATGTTGTTGTTATATATTACATTCTGAGAATAAATACTTGTCCTTTAGTATTTTGTCTTGACAATGTCAAAGTATTCTAAAAAGATTATCTATGCTTCTTTCATTTACTGAAGAACTACGAGCACTTCCAGAATGATATTTGGCACATGGTTTTGGGAAAATGTTGATATTGTAGGACATGTTTATTTAGTAGCAGTATTTCACCGTACAAACATTCTATAGGGCATATACTGCTTATTAATGCTTAGGATGACAACGCCTTTTTTCGGACTATATTCCAAATGTACTGCTTACAGAAATGTGAGAAATGTGCTGTACTGGTGGTGCTTTTGTATACTAATAATTGTTTCGTGTGAATATTCGTGCCTTTGAGCTTCCCGTCGACTTATGGCAACTCCATCAAAATTTTTTTCACATGGTTTTATTAGACTACGAGTCTCTGCTAATTTATTCCTCGAAAACAGTTTTTCTCATCCTGGGGGTTGGGACCCCTGTGGGGGGGTCACAAGGGGGTGTCAGAGAGGTTGCTAAAGACCATCAGAAAACACAGTATTTTCTGTTGGTCATGGGAGTTCTGTTTGGGAAGTTTGGCCCAATTCAATCATTGGTGGAGTTCAGAATGCTCCTTGATTGTAGGTGAACTATAAATCCCGGCAACTACAACTCCCAAATGTCAAGTTCTATTTTCTTCAAACTCCACCAGTGTTCACATTTGGGTATATTGAGTATCTGTGCCAAGTTTGGTCCAGATCTATCATTGTTTGAGTCCACAGTGTTCTCTGGATGTAGGTGAACTACAACTCCAATACTCAAGGTCAATGTCCACCAAAGCCTTCCAGTATTTTCTGTTGGTCATGGGAGTTCTGTGTGCCAAGTTTGGTTCAATTCCATCACTGGTGGAGTTCAGAATGCTCTTTGACTGTAGGTGAACTGTAAATTCCAGCAACTATAACTCCCAAATGACAAAATCAATCCCAACCCAATTTTCATTCACTGGACCAAATACTGGTGGGCAGTATTCAAATTTGGGCATATCGAGTATTTGTGCCAAATTTGATCCAGTGAATGAAAATACGTCCTGCATATCAGATATTTACATTACAATTCATAACAGCAGCAAAATTGCTGTTATGAAGTAGCAACAAAAATAATTTTATGGTTGGAGGTCATCACAACATAAGGAACTGTATTAAGGGAAGGATGGTTGAGAATCAGTGCTCTAAAATGTAGCATTTAGTCCTTACATCTCTTCTGGTTTCAAAGTCAGATCACTTCCACGTGGTTTTAACTTGTTTAACTGTATTCACATCCCAACACTGTAGCTAAAATGTTACTTTATTTTTCTTTTAAGGTGTGTGTTAAAGTGAGAGAATAATAGCTATGGGGCTCACAATGTCATGGTGTCTTCTACTTCTTGGTGCTCTGCTGCCTTCCTCTTCTGCCTATACGGATTTCTTCACTTCAATCGGTAAGCAGTATATAGTGTTGGACAACAGGGAACACAATTGCATTATATTTTTGTACAGTTCTCCTTCCAACATCTAGCAAAGATGATTAAGCTAAAACATAATCAATAATAAAGCCTTAAAATACGTCAAACTACTCTGGAACTTCCAAATTCAGACTGACAGCATTTTGGAGCACAATACTCCTGACCACAAGATCATGTTAAAAAACAGAGTGTGGATTGTCGATGTTGCAATCCCACGTGACAGCAGGATTGAAGAGAAACAACTGTAAAAGATGACACGATATGAGGATTTAAAGATTGAACTGCAAAGGCGCTGGCACAAGGCAGTAAAGGTGGTCCCAGTAATGATTGGCACATTGGGTGCAGTGCCTAAAGACCTTGGCCTGCACTTAGACACAATCAGTGCTGACAAAATTACCATCTACCAGCTGCAGAAGGCCACCTTACTGGGATCTGCACACATTATTTGCCGATGCATCACACAGTCCTAGACTTTTGGGAAGTGTCCGACATGTGATCCAATACAACAGCCAGCAAAGTGATCTTGTTTGCTGTGGACTCATCTTGTGTTTCAAATAATAATAATAATGATAGTGATGATGATGATGATGTTGTTTCATTTATATACTTCTCTATCTCCCCAAAGGGACTTCAGTAAGGAAGTGGCAAACATTCAATGACAAAATACACAACAAAGCAAATAATCAGCCTCCCAGATCCCAAGAAAATAGCGTTTGGAATCTGTGTTTATATTTGTGTTTTTTAATCTTTTGTTGGGACCCAGCACCCACAAATATGTGCCACTGTATAGTATATTGGTAAGATTTCATAATAGTAACCATAGATGTAATAATTGCAAAAAAACTGTTTTTAGGACACATGACTGACTTGATTAATACTGAAAAAGACCTGGTGACTTCACTGAAAGACTACATCAAGGCAGAAGAGAGCAAGCTGGAACAGATTAAGAAGTATGTATTGCCTTAAATACTAATATTTACTGATGATTCTACCCTAAGTGCATAAAAGTTACCTTTAGGCTAAATAGTACATAGCTTTTATGGAAGCAAGAATATACCCGCCAGTGCCTCAGGCTATTGTTCGTAAGCAGTCAAAAGCAAATATGTGTTGTGGATCATACAAGAGAAACATAATCCTTCCTGTACTTCCTCCCAAGTCTAAATTACTTTGGGCTATAATTTTAATATGTATGTTAGCAAAAGGAATGGTGTAAGACGTAATTATGTTTCATGAGCTAATCTTTCAAATAATCCTATCATTTCAGATCTTGAAATAATGCGAGATATCATATTTCAGTTGACATTATCACTGTGTGAATAGGCACACTGATAATAAATTTAACTTGCTCTTTCTCTCTCAAGGTGGGCAGAAAAGTTGGATAAGCTGACGGACACGGCAACAAAGGATCCTGAGGGATTCTTGGGACATCCTGTGAATGCATTCAAGTTAATGAAGAGACTCAATACGGAGTGGAATGAACTGGAAAATCTAGTGCTAAAGGATATGTCTGATGGTAGGTATTCCTCTAGTCTACAAAGAACAGCTGAAAACTCATGCACGGTAGTAGTAGTAGTAGTAGTAGTAGTAGTAGTAGTAGTAGTAATAAGGGAAGTTTCCGACGTGTGATCCAATACAACAGCCAGCAGAGTGTCTGCTGTGGGGTCTTCTTGTTGTGTTTCAAATAATAATAATAATAATAATAATGCACTTTATTTACATTCCGCTCTATCTCCCCAAAGGAGACTCAGGGCAGATTATAGTATACACATATATAGGCAAACATTTAATGTCTTTTATACAATGAACAATGATATACAATACGCAAACAAAGGCAAACGTTTCCCTTTCCATCTCTGGCGTCTGGAGGTGATGCATTCAAGTTAATGAAGAGACTTAATACGGAGTGGAATGAACTGGAAAATCTAGTGCTAAAGGATATGTCTGATGGTAGGTATTCCTCTAGTCTACAAAGAACAGCTGAAAACTCATGCACAGTAGTAGTAGTAGTAGTAGTAATAATAATAATAATAATAATAATAATAATAATAATAATAATAATAATGGAAGTGCCTGACGTGTGATCCAATACAACAGCCAGCAGTGTCTTCTGTGGGGTCTTCTTGTTGTGTTTCAAATAATAATAATAATAATAATAATAATAATAATAATAATAATGCACTTTATTTACATTCCGCTCTATCTCCCCGAAGGAGACTCAGAGCAGATTATAGTATACACATATATAGGCAAACATTTAATGTCTTTTATACAATGAACAATGAGGTGATGCGCAACTCTGGCCATGGGGAGGCACTCTTGTCCCATTTTCCATGCCAAGGAGGTATTGTCGTGTTTTGCTGGCATGTCTGCATGGACACCTTTAGCCTTCCCACTGAGACGGTACCTACTGATCTACTCATATTACATATTTTTGAACTGCTAGGTTGGCAGGAGCTAGGGCTGATACCTGGGAGCTCACCCTGACCGGCGGCTTCAAACTGCTGCCCTTCCAGTCAGCAAGTTTTTCTGCAGCTAGCAGTTTAACCCACTGTGCTACCGCGGCCCTGGTAGTAGATAATAAAATGACCTGAGAACCTAAAAGTCTCGAGTTCGTGCAGTAATGAATAGGAAGATACACATCTTGCAGAAAGGGAAGGAAGTGAGAACCAAAATGATGTTGAAACCAAACATGTTGTTTTAAAATGAAGGCATATCTGCATTTGTTTCTCTGAGCTCAGAAAATATGTTCTCATTCTCATTAGACCACCAATAGTTGAAATAGATACTGATGAAAAAATTAGAAAGATATATTTGGGGCCAGTTAAATAATTACACTATATATATATGAATGAGAGATGCCGCTATCCAATTTACTTTGTTAAATCAAAATTCTGTTCAGCATCCAAATGAATAAGCAATTGAAATTGCTGTTTGCTATCACCGCGTTGTAATTGAATATTTTATCTAAATTGAGTTGGGTTTTACTTTTGTAAGTGTTGTTTATGTTTTGATCTTGTGTTGTTATTAATGTTGATATATTTTACTTGTATTTTATGTGCTTTTTGTAAACCGCCCTGAGTTCCTTTTGGAAATGTTGTTGTTATGATAATAATAATAATAATAATAATAATAATAATAATAATAATAATAATTGCTATTATTATTCTCCCACAAATTGACACTCTGCTGTGATTTGAAAGATAGAAATAGAAGAGGACCACAAACAAAAACAGGCAAAAAGGAGTCAAGATGATGCTAAGTAGCAGATTGCCAGAAATGGAGTAGGATTGGGATTTGTGTAGGGCAAAACTTTCCAGATATTTCACGTTGGTGACACTTTTTTGGCATGCATCATTACATGACACAATTATTCAGTTTTTCCATCAAACTGGAGGTTTAAAACAACCCTTATAAAAGATACGGGCACATACATAAATTGTAATAATGGAAAGTATGGGGACACAACATATCTCGTTTCATATAAATATAAATATTTCATTTATATTTTTAAAAACACATGATTTATTTCTTATTTCACATTGATTCAAAGGTTTATTGTTACATTCACGCAACACACATATACACTGCAGCTGACACATGAACATGTTGTGACACAAAGGTTGGAAAGCTATGGTGTAGAGGAACTGAGAAGTGAAAATATTTTTCTTTTTATTGTTAGGGTTTATTTCCAACATGACTATCCAGCGCCAATATTTTCCGAATGATGAAGATCAAACGGGTGCTGCCAAAGCTCTCTTACGGCTCCAGGATACATATAATTTAGATACAGACACCCTCTCTAGGGGAAATCTTCCAGGTAAGGCTTTGAGAAATCTTGGAAGTATAGCGAAAACTCTTTTAAGGAATGTGAATTTATTTGAAAGAAGGAGCTAGATCAGGCATAACAAATTTGTTGCTATAGGAATGAATTATGTGCTCACATACCCCCGATTTCCAATTCTTTTCCACATCACATGCTACTGTTTTTAGCATAAACTATAGCTTGCAGTTATCTCCAAACATCAAATCATCCAGGTGTCCCCTGGGCAACGTCCTTGCAGACGGCCAATTCTCTCACACCAGAAGCGACTTGCAGTTTCTCAAGTTGCTCCTGAGACAACAAAAAAAATCTTTAATGAATCTGGCATACTGGTTGTTGGACTGCTCTCCATGTGTTGTTGGATTACAACTCCCAATACTCCTCACCAAAAACTATGCAGATTAGAAGTGATTGGACTGGCAGTCCATCATCACCACCATCTAATTTGTGTCTTTGCCCCCCCCCCCCACACACTGCAAGATAATCAGTTTATCAAAGGAGAAAACCCACATTATCTGATTTGAACCAGATTATCTTCGTATAAACTGCAATATAATACAGATTATCAAAGCAGATAATCCACATAATCTGCTTTGAACTGGATTATTTTGAGCCTCTTCCACACAGCTGAATAAAATCCCATATTATCTGCTTTGAACTGCAATGTATGGCAGCGTGGACTCAGATAACCCAGTTCAGAGCAGATAATGTGGCATTTTCTGACTTGATAGTCTACGTTATATGGCTGTGTGGAAGGGCCCTTAGTCTGCACTGCCATATAATCCAGTTCAAAGCAGATAATCCAGTTCAAGATTAAATCAGAAAAGTAGATAATCCAGTTCAAAGCACATAATATGGCAGTGTAGATGGATCCTTAGATTATATCATTACAATCTTTTCATATCCATGTGTAGTCGCTTCTCTGATTTAAGGTTCCATCTGAACATGAGGAAGAACTGACTGTGAGAGCCGTTCAGCAGTGGAACTTTCTGCCCTGGAGTGTGGTGGAGGCTCCTTCTTTGGAAGCTTTTAAACAGGCTGGATGGCCATCTGTCAGGGGTGATTTGAATGCAATATTCCTGCTTCTTGGCAGAATGGGGTTGGACTGGATGGCCCATGAGGTCTCTTCCAACTCTTTGATTCTATGATCTTCCTTCAAGAAATCTGTTCTGCCTTTGTTTCTCCAACATACTTTATACAGTTTCCTTTTTCTTTATCGAACTGAGGCCTACTTGGATGGTATTTTGAATTTCTCTGACTTTTAACACAGAGGAAAACATTGAGCTCTTATGGTCTTTGCCTAATGAGATTTCTTGTTTTAATAAGTTTGTTTTGTTTCTTTTTGATTGCTCTCTTTGCAACCCTTGTGGTCTTTTGTGATGGAAGGCATCATCAGCCCATGTATGTAAATTGTCACAATTATCATTATCCAATTCCCAAATTTTGTGTAGCATTCTGTATATTGTAGTGTTGCTCCTGGATTGTAACTTGTAGGACTTTGCAAAGGTAAAATGCAGGGGGAAACTGTTGTTAACCTGATCTTCTGCCTATCAGAATATATTTGTGTATGTGTGTGTGTAGTATTTTGAAACATCCAGCACTATATGTACCCATAGATCAGTGTTTCTCAACCTGGGGGTTGGGACCCCTCTGGGGGTTGTGAGGGAGTGTCAGAGGGGTCGCCAAAGACCATCAGAAAACATAGTATTTTCTGTTGGTCATGGGGTTTCTGTGTGGGAAGTTTGGCCCAATTCTATCTTTGGTGGGGAACAGAATACTCTGATTGTAGGTGAACTATAAATCCCAACAACTAAAACTCCCAAATGTCAAGGTCTATATTCTCCAAACTCCACCAGTATTCACATTTGGGCATATTGAGTATTTGTGTCAAGTTTGGTCCAGATCCATCATTGTTTGAGTGCATAGTGCTCTCTAGATGTAGGTGAACTACAACTCCAAAACTCAAGGTCAATCCCCATCAAACCCTTCCCATATTTTCTGTTGGTCACGGGAGGTCTGTGTTCCAAATTTGGTTCAATTCCGTTGTTGGTGGATTTCAGAATGCTCTTTGATTGGAGGTGAACTATAAATCCCAGCAACTACAACTCCCAAGTGACAAAATCAATCCTCTCCACAACCCCACCAGTATTCAAATTTGGTTGTATTATTGGATATTTGTGCCGTTTGGTCCAGTGAATGCAAATATATCCTGCATATCGGATGTTTACATTACGATTCATAACAGGAGCACAATTACAGGTGTGAAGTAGCAACAAAAATAATGTGATGGTTGGGGGTCACCACAACATAATGAACTGTATTAAGGGGTCACGGCATTAGGAAGGTTGAGAAACACTGCCATAGATAATATTAGGAATCTTCCTCTCCCACTCTATTCTTTTCAACATGTCTGTTTCTAAACTTGTACAGAATCTAAATAATCTAAACCTTTACAAGTGTGGTACTGTTATCTGAAGCATTATGTTTGGAGCCATGTAAAAGTCCATACAAAATAAAAAGGTCTAATCAGCTTCATTTAGTACTACTAATTGACGTAACTTTCATTCTTAATATGTAGTATCACTAGGGAACTGAACAGTACAACTTCAGAAGCAATTGGAACAGTTCTCATGGATCTCTTCTTTCCCATAGGAGTGAAGCACAAGACTTTCCTGACAGCTGACGATTGCTTTGAGTTAGGAAAAATTGCATATACCGAAGCGGATTACTACCACACTGAGCTGTGGATGGAGCAAGCTCTGAAACAGCTTGATGATGGAGAGGTTTCGTCTTCTATCGACAAAGTTTCTGTTCTAGACTACTTGAGTTATGCTGTTTACCAACAAGGGGATCTAGACAAAGCAATGATGCTTACGAAGCGGCTACTTGAGTTGGGTATGTTGTGGTCACGTATAATTCCAATTTTCCCGCAAGTTCAGATTTTCATGCCAGAGTGGTTTGTGATTTTCAGTTGTTTCAAACAATACTGGCTATGAGTAAGTATATTCTGTTGCATAAAATCTTGTCCTCCGTGCGTCCAGCTGAAGAGAATGAAGCATTTTCTTAATGCAGCTCAACTCAGATCTATTGTTTATTTTTCTCATTTAATTCTCTGGGAATTTGAAACAAGTCCAGTTTTAAATGTGATCCATTAAGAACAGTTGGCGCTCATAGGCCCTAGTGTACTATTAGTAGTATAGGGTAATTCTAGATATATGACTTGTTTTATTAATAGATTTTATGGGAGTCTAGACAACATTGTTTTCTATTTTTAACTTTTCAGTGGCCTCCTGCCACTTCTTTCATCTTTTTTGTTTCCATGAATAATCCACCAATCTGATCTGTAATGCTTCTGAACACTACACCATTGATTTGTATTAAACATATTTCAATGACAGTTTATGTATTTATTTAATTAATTAATTACTGTATTTGTGTGCCGCCCTTCTCAGCCCTCGGGCAACTCAGGGTGGTTTACAAAGGCAACAATTTGATGCCCCAAAACACCATAAAACATTTAAAAACATTAACACATAATATAAAACTATAACAAGAATGTTATGCCTCATTTTGCCCATTCCTGCTCCAGTTCTATATTCTCCAATGCGATTCTATGGTTAATTTCTAGTGAAAGTTTGCCATAGAGTCATGCTGGAAGACCCAGAAATTCCCAGAGATTTATTTATTTGTGATTTTTCACTTTCATGGAATTCCTGTGGCCCTAACCACAGGAAATATGGAGGCTGACTGTAATTTCTTACTAATTGGTTGTGGTTTTTGTTAACTGTAGTAAAATATTATTGTAAAAACCCTAGATGTAGAGCTGTGTTAAGACTATGTAGTGCCTTTAAACAAAAGTATAAGTGCGCCAAGGTTTTTAAATTTTTTTCCAATAGTAGGAATATTTAGTTGGTAAATCTGGTCTTTACTGCTGCAGTGTTACATTTTCGTTAAAATCATATCTTCTTGATCAGTGATTTGTATACATACTAATTTTTCTATGGGTCAATAGATATTTTTCTTAGTAATTCAGTTTCTTAGTGAAAAGTTTCTTTTTATAGGTGGTAATCTTATAAACATTGGAACTGTCTTCTAGAATGTATTGTTGAAAACTTTCATGGCTGGAATCACTGGGTTGTAGGTTTTTCGGGCTATATGGCCATGTTCTAGAAGCATTCTCTCCTGACGTTTTACCAGCTTCTACGGCAAGCATCCTCAGAGGTTCTGAGGTCTCACAACCTCTGAGGATGCCTGCCATAGATGCAGAAGAAGCGTCAGGACAGAATGCTTCTAGGATATGGTCATATAGTCCGAAAAACCTACAACAACCCTGTGTTCTAAAATGTTAAAACTAATTTCTATAAATATCAAAACTGTGTTGTATTCAACTTGCTGGGATTTGCCTCTGTATGGGCATCTATAGGATTGCCTTATTCTACTTTAAAATTACCATTTACCAGCATAACTGACAATTAAAATCTTGTAGTGACTTAGGAAATGTTCGTTCTTGATGTTTGCTGAGTTTATAAATGGGAAGTCTCACATAGGAAGTAGCTATAAGGAAAATAACTTCATAGACGGTACCTCACTACCTCTGAGGATGCTTGCCATAGATGCAGGCGAAACGTCAGGAGAGAATGCCTCTAGAACATGGCCATATAGCCTGAAAAAACCTACTACAACCCAGTGATTCTGGCCATGAAAGCCTTCGACAATTCATAGACATTGTTTTCTTAAATAATGGGAATAGGAATGTCTTCTAACTGTAATAACTGACTTTAGGGGGCTATATGTTAATCTATTCATATTTAAGCATTTGTTTAAAATAAACAATTGTCATGAAAAGCGACATGAAATTGGTTAGAAAAATTAAGCTTTTACAAAAGAGGCTTTATATTCTAAAATTTTGTCTGCATATCCTTTTCCCTTATTGCTGTAGACCCAGAGCATCAGCGAGCAAATGGCAATTTGAAGTACTTTGAGTATATAATGTCTAAAGAAAAAGAAAAAGAAGCAAACAAATCTCTTTCTGAGACAGATGAAAAGACTGGAAAAGAAAGTAAAAGTAGAAAGGGGCCATCAAAAGATTACCTGCCGGAGAGACAGAAATATGAGATGTTGTGCCGTGGGGAAGGTCTCAAAATGGTAATAAATGTATATATTTATGAATAATAATAATTTAGCTAGCCATTTGTTTCCTGTGTGATATGTATTCATTTGGTTCATAACATTTAGTTCTTCATTTCAATCTTCTAGACTCCTAGAAGACAAAAGAAACTGTTTTGCCGTTATTATGATGGAAATAGGAACCCCAGGTATATACTCAGACCTGTCAAACAAGAGGATGAATGGGACCGGCCGCGGATTGTCCGCTTCGTGGACATCATTTCTGATGAAGAAATCGAAACTGTCAAAGAGCTGGCAAAACCAAGGGTAAAGAATCTAAATTGTCCATATAGTATAAGTGATGCTAACAATGCATGGATCCTGGTATGTGATGGAGTGCCTTTGGGCAATTCTACAAGAAAATATCTGTGTCATTAAAAACTGACCATTGGTTTAGCTCATAGTTAGAACACATGATGTATCAGCAGACCTCCCAAGTTCAATCCTTGGTATGTTGCAGTAAACAAATAACAAAATAGGTATCTGATGAGGGACTGACCATCCAGGTAAGCAATACTGGACTGGTAAATAATAATAATAATAACAACAATAACAACAACAACAATGAAAACACACTTTATTTATAATTCGCCCTTCTCCCTGAAGGGACTCAGAGCAGATTATTGTATATTAACAGATACAGGCAAACATTCAATGCCTTTTTACAATACAATGAGACACACATACACAGACAAAGGCAAAAGTTTCTCCTTTCATTTCCAGCTTCTGGAGGCGGTGCACATCTCTGTCTCTTGGGGGTGGTGCTCTTCTCCATTTTCAAACTGAGGAGCCGGTGTTGTAACCTCCTGGTCGTTTGGCTGGCATTACGGCTAGGAGCGTCTTTTGCCTAGAAGCAGTACCTATTTATCTACTCACATTTGTATGTTTTCGAACTTCTAAGTTGGCAGGAGCTAGGGTTGACAGTGGGAGCTCACCCCAACCCGCAGACTCAAACTGCCAACCTTCAGGTCAGCAGTTCCACAGCACCTATTTCGCCACGGTGGCCTCATAGACTTAATAATAATAATAATAATAATAATAATAATAATAATAATAATAATAATAATAATAATAATCTTTATTTATATCCCACCACCATCTCCCCAAAGGGGACTCAAGGTGGCTAACATGAGGCCAAGCCCAAAATTACAGTACAGCAAAATATAATACAAGAAGCAAAAATAGCATCAAAATAAATAGATGAAATAACAAAATAAAATAAAGAGTTTCAAAATAACATGGTAGAGAAATATAACACTCTTCTCTGCTATTTAGTAGAGTTGATCTTGTGCGTGCCATGTTTGGAAGGCGATCTTGAAGGCAGTAGGAATAATACATTATATAATAATGACTTTATTTTTGTATCCCGCCACCATCTCCTCGAAGGGACTCGAGGCGGCTTACATGGGGACAAGTCCAGTCAAATATACTTTAAAATATAACACAGTTAAATTTATAATGCAACATTATAAAACAATATAATGCAGGATCTTTACACTATACTACTAGTATAGTGTAGTGTACTACTACTATTTTACTTCTATATTACTTATGCAAAGGTAAATTAATAAGGATAGATGCAGACACAATTTTGAATCCCAGTACCCATCACAGAGATCGATGGACATGTATTTTGTATTCCTCTGCTGTTGGAAGTTATTGTGTGTAAGTGTTGATTTATCAATGTGCCTTGCAGTTACTTTATACATAGTCCAGGCTCTTGAAAGAGCCGAAGTAACCCTGCATTTACAGTGTGGGATCCATAAAGTTATCCCTGCCTGAAAATGGTTGGTTCTTTTAAAAATAGATCCCCAGACTGTAACCCATTATTATGTAGGACCACGGTGAGAAATGAGCCTATGTGTGCTTTCAAGGGTCATTTTTGTGGCTCTTTTTTTGCCTCAAACACCTTATGTCCTTCCTCTTTCAAACCTGTTTTAAATCTGACAGATATTTTGTTTTGAAGGCATGAGGTTGGGCTATTTTCAATTTTTTTCTTTAAAGGGTAGCCTTTACTGGTATTGTATTTTGAAATGGTCATATGACTGGTCAAATAAATAAATTATATATGATTTATGTTTGTTTGCGTAGCGTTGGGGCTATAGCAGCCCAAGGAATGCAAACCAAAACTACCAAGTAACCTAGAAAAATCATCCCCCAGTAGTGGACAAAATGTTTTCCAGTGTGGGGGAACGGACCTACAACTTCTTCTGGGTCCCATGCAGCCTTTAGCTGTAGATTTTAAAGAAAACCCATTTGTCCATGTTTTGTATATAGGGTGATTAGATTTAGGAAACAGGCAACAAATTGCAAGACTTTTAAATTATTATTATTATTATTATTAACTTTATTTATACCCCGCTAACATCTCCCGAAGGACTCGATGCGGCCAAGGCCGCCAACAAAACAACAACATAACAATACAGCAATAAAACTCATAAAGCAAACAATAAACATCAAGCAAAAAAAAACACTAAAAACAATGACACCATGACGCATTTAAAACCTAAGGCCGGGCCAATGTAATGAACAAAATTTAAAAGTGCTGGACATGACAGGTGAAATGTAGAGGTTTTGGAGGTAGGTGCAATGTGCAGACAATCCTAATCTCTAACAAAGTGCATTTGGGACATGATGCTAGGAATTTCCTATTCTGGAAAGGCACACTGGAACAGCCAAGTCTTCAGGCTCTTCCTAAAGACTGCCAAGTTGGGGCTTGGCTAATGTCCTTGGGGAGTGAGTTCCAGAGTCGAGGGGCCACCACCGAGAAGGCCCTCTCCCTCATCCCCACCAATCGCGCTTGCGATGGTGGTGGGAGCGCGAGCAGGGCCTCTCCAGATGATCAAATAGATTGTGTTCATAAACGAAGATGCGGTCACGCAGGTAGGTGGGTCCCAAACCGTTTAGGGCTTTGTAGGTAAGCACCTGCACCTTGAATTGGGACTGGAAAATGAACGGCAGCCAGTGGAGCTCCTTAAACAGGAGGGTTGACCTCTCTCTGTAAGGAGCACCAGTTAACAACCTGGCTGCCGACCGTTGGACAAGTTGGAATTTCCGAGCCATTTTCAAGGGCAGCCCCACGTAGAGCGCATCACAGTAGTCCAATCTGGAGGTGACCAAGGCATGGACCACCCCGGCCAGTGATGGTCCACCTAATGAGCTTTCCTACGAACCCAGATTTAGAGATCCAGATTTTATTTCCTCATATAGTCCTTAAATGTCTCTGTTATGGTGCAGTGGTAAGTTCTCATTTCTCCTGCTCTTTTGGAAAGAACATGCATGTCTCATGCATTGCTTTGTCAGTACCAGGCTATAACTAGACATGTTTCTGAATAGCTATCACATAGCCAGTATCAGTATATGAATTTAAAAAATGTTCATTCAGCAGGAGTTTCCTGGTTGAGCTTTTCACTGAGGCATCACGGGAAAGACACTTGGAAGTAGCCACATGTAACTCTCACCGCACTCTGGTTAACTCTGGTTAGGCTTGGACTCACCCAGTACCCAGTATCTTTCCTTTGAACAATGAAAAATTATCCAAGAGGTGCCAGACAGACAAAAACCTGGTTCCACCTTGTACTTCGGTCTGAGTTAATTGTTGGGTAAAATAATACACTTTATTTATATTCTGCCCTTCTCCGCTAGGGGATTCAGAGCGGATTACAGCATTTACATACACAGGCAAACATTCAATGTCTTTGCAATCATATACGATGACACGCCAACACAAAAGCAGAAGCTTCTCCTTTCATTGCCGGCGTCTGGAGGCGGTGCTCATCTCTGGCTCCATTTTCAAGCCAAGGAGCCTATGTTGTCACCTCCTGATTGTGTGGCTGGCAATAAATAATAATAATAATAATAATAATACTTTATTTATACCCCGCCACCATCTTCCCAAGAGGACTCGGGGCGGCTTGCACAAGGCCAAGGCCACAATGCAATACATCAATATGCAATAGAACACAGCAATAAAATAAAAAAAAAAATACAAAATAGTACATTATAAATAATATATATAAAATCGCGACATTTAAGATGGAGGGATATCTCGGTGGGCAGGGCCAATTCCGAAGGGTTAAAAAATTCAAAACACTAGGTGAGACAGCAGTTTAGTGTGTCTGGACAAGGGATCCGGGGGATAAGTGAGATTTGATTGCACTAATAGGGGAGATAAAGTGCCTGCGAGGGCATTTGCAGGACTTGGTCAGGTCAGGGAATTCATTCATTCATTGAAAACACACTGGAACAGCTAAGTTTTCAAGCTCTTCCTAAAGATTGCCAGGATGGGGGCTTGCCTAATATCTCTGGGGAGCGAGTTCCAGAGCCGGGGGGCCACCACAGAGAAGGCCCTCTCCCTCGTCCTCACCAGTTGCACTTGCGATGGGGGCGGGAGCGAGAGAAGGGCCTCTTCGGAAAGATTGAAGAGATCGTGTAGGCTCGTAAACGGAAATGCGGTCACGCAGGAAGGCAGGTCCTAAACCGTTCAGGGATTTGTAGGTCAGGACCTGCACCTTGAATTGGGACCAGAAAATAAACGGCAGCCAGTGGAGCTCTTTGAACAGGGGGGTTGACCGCTCCCAGTAATTCACTCCAGGATTGCTTGGAGGGTCTCTTTTTTTTCTCCCCACGGAGGTGGTACCTATTTATCTAGTCACATTTGTATGTATTCAAACTGCTAGGTTGGCAGGAACTGGAGATGGCAGACGGGAGCTCACCCTGTCTCGCACATTCGAATTGTCAACCTTTAGGTCAGCAGTTCAGCAGCATAAGGGTTTAACCCAGTTCCAGCAGTTAAGTGAGCTCTATCTTAAGCCACACACAAGTAAATCTGGACAAACACAAACATAACATTGCAATTGTTGTTGTGGGCCTTCAAGAGATTCTGATTGATGGCCACCCAAATGGTTTTTCTGCACTGAGAGTTTCCATGGCCAAGCAGAGAATTGAACCCTGGTCTCTGGTTTCATAGTCCAACCTATAAACCCCCATATCACACAATTTTTTGCTATTGGAATACAGGTCGCAAATATGTACAAGAAAGCAAAGTAAATAGCTCAATCTAATTTTTAATGTGGTTTCAGTAACTATAAGGAATAGCCTGCTTCTTCAGGTACAGGTGAGTTGAATTTGTGTCCTTGTATGTTACTAAAAGGTGGATACTATACTGTTAATGTGTAAACTGTATTAAGGAACATGAACCCTGCTGGAGCCTCTGCTCCATCATAGGATTCTGAATGGTCGGATTGATGTGATGCCGTATATACCTTGTAATTCAACTATTCTGATTGGTTCGCTTCACAGCTGAGGCGAGCCACCATTTCAAACCCCATAACGGGAGTCTTGGAGACTGCACATTACAGAATTAGCAAAAGGTAAGACTTCATATATGCTGTCCGTATAATGAGTGCCTCTATGGTGCTCATCAGGAGAAAAAAATAGCCAGAAGCTTATTTTTTTCTGGACAATCTTTTACTATTTGCAAATAGTGTAACAAACTCTTGCTGGCAGGTTTCCCAGATTCCTTCTCTAACCAGAAGTTCTGTTCTTGTTTGCTAGGTTTTTTTTAGTCTATTGCAATATGCTTGTGGATAATCCCCCTATGCAATGTAGCGATCTCCTTTCTGCTTTTCTACATCAAAATCGGGCAAACCTTTGCATTTGAAGAACGTCCTTCTAGAATATACTCAACAAAGTTGACCTGCCTTTTCCCTGTGCAGAAAAACTACAGAAGATGCTGCTTTGGCAGGACTATGCATTGGCATTGTGTATTAGAGGATGAGCACTTGTATATTCTCATTGTAACAGAAACGACTAGCCTGACCGCTAATTCCAGCTTTGTTTAGTTGGAGCCAGGCACATTGTTATGTTAGACATCTCTTTGCAGCTCATTTTGTAGATTTTTGTGCTGTTTTTACAAATTTCTGGGGGCTTGGCTAAATATCAAATAAATTTCTTATGAGTGTAACACAGTCCTCTGATTTTGACAACTATTAAATCAGAGCAGCAAAAATAAAACACAATTAAAAATAGTCTTTTAAACCCAGTCTTATGGATATGGATGATCCCATTAACGTCAATTAATTTTCACAATTTAATGTTAGGCACCACAAGGTTGTCCCCTGCTCCCTGTTTTTATAGCCTGTCTTCCCTTCAATTATTTATTTATTCATATCCCGCTTTTCTCCAATGGGTGGGACTCAAAGCAGCAAACAAATTGGTAAAACAAAAATTCCATAATACAAAAGCACAACATTATCCCCCCCCCCCCACTCAACAAATCTATATAAATAAAAATGTAATGTTCGTTTGTGCCTGGCCTTGAGCAAAGTCCCCTCACCCGCCTTGCGCTTTCGCCATCCGGCAAAGCGGGTGAGGGGTGCTCGGCACGAGGCCTGGCCTTGTGCAAAGCCTCCTCGCCCACCTCTCGCTTTCGCCATCTGTCGAGGGAGCGAGGCGGACGAGGGTTCTTGGCACGTGGCCGGCTTCACGCAAAGCCCCCTCGCCCGCCTTGCACTTTTGCCATCCGGCGAGGGGTTCCCGACGCGTGGCCTGGCTTCACGCAAAGCCCCCTCGCCCGCCTTGCGCTTTCGCCATCCGGAAAGGGTGCGAGGCGGGCGAGGGGTTCTCGGCACGTGGCCTGGCTTCACGCAAAGCCCCCTCGCCCGCCTTGCACTTTCGCCATCCGGCGAGGCTGGCGACGGGTTCTCGACGCGTGGCCTGGCTTCACGCAAACCCCCCTCGCCCTGTCTTGCGCTTTTGCCATCCGGCGAGGGCGCGAGGTGGGAGAGGGGTTCTCGGCACGTGGCCTGGCTTCATGCAAAGCCCCCTCGCCCGCCTTGCGCTTTCGCCATCCGGAAAGGGTGCGAGGCGGGCGAGGGGTTCTCGACGCGTGGCCTGGCTTCACACAAAGCCCCCTCGCCCACCTTGCGCTTTCGCCATCCGGCGAGGGCGCGAGGCGGGTGAGCGGTTCTCAGCGCGTGGCCTGGCTTCACACAAAGCCCTCTTGCCTGTGTTGCGCTTTTGCCATCCGGCGAGGGCGCGAGGTGGGAGAGGGGTTCTCGGCACGTGGCCTGGCTTCATGCAAAGCCCCCTCGCCCGCCTTGCGCTTTCTCCATCCGGTGGGTTGCCACAGCATGAGGTATTGTATTTAGGGGTCACGGCATTAGAAAGGTTGAGAACCACTGTATTACATAAACCATATAAAATAAATGTAATAAATAACACCATTTATTGTTATCATTATCATTAAAAATCCCTGGGCCTCAGATCACTGAGGTTGTCCTTAAAACATTGTACTAAAAAAATCACGAAGCTCTACAACTTTGGCCATGTGAGCCTTGCCAGGCTGAAATAGCCTGCTAATTGCGGGTTGTCGAGAAAGTCCTGCTTCAATAGTATTCTACTTTTTAATCTGAAAAAAAAAATCTCACAGTGCATTATTGAACTTAAATATCAACTTCTATTTTTTCATAAAGTTCCAAAAAAATTCAATTTGCATATTTATTTATTTTTAAATCCCACTAGCATTTGCATATAGATTTTTTAAAAAATGGAAGTGCTTGTTGTGTTATCTTATTAACAATTTTTTAAAGTATTCTACTTTTTAATCCAAAAAAATCTCACAGTGCATTATTTGAACTTAAACATCAACTTCTGTTTTTTCACAAAGTTCCAAAAAAATTCAGTTAGCATATTTATTTATTTTTTAAAATCCCACTAGCATTTGCATATAGATATTTTTTTAAATAAAGGAGACAACAAAGATAAAAAAGAGCATTTAACTTCTGGAGACGGAGAAGTTTTCTGTGAAACTCTGCACACAAATGGCTCACATACTTTTCCATTTGGGGGGAGAAAAAGTGAAAGGACAATTAAAGCAAATTTTATCTCTCCGATTTGAGTTGAAAACGGGAAATCCTAGTAGCCTGGCTACTGTGATGCTTTTAAGCATTCTTTCCGAGCTGAGCATTACATAATATCCAGACCAATCAGAACCCTTTTAATTGCCTGTGGCTTGGCCCAGACGCTTGCTATTAGAGTAAGCCCTTGTCCTTTCTCTTTTTGTAGCTGAGCCGAGCTACTGTGCATGACCCTCAGACTGGGAAACTGACCACAGCACATTACAGAGTCTCAAAGAGGTAAGGGGACATTGGTACGTCGAAGGAACTTTCCCATTTCTCTGTGTCGTGTTTGCGTCAGACTTGCTGTGGGATTCTGTACATATTTTTCCTCTTCAGCTAACTGGAAACAGAGTACTAACATCTGAACCTCTGGAGTGCTTAAAAGGGGGACACTGCAAACTTAAACTCCTGGGTAAGAACTAATCAAGATCAAGTACTGCGAGCAAGGGCTTCATTCTTTCCCATTGAATTCCATGCAAATTGAGCACTTCTAAGTGGATTGGTAGATGCACTTACTCTCTGTTATGCATGGTTCTAGTACAACTAACACATTGACTTATGCACTGTATCATTTGCTTGCTGTGTTGTCATGCTTGTGTTAATTTTAAACACTTCCTAGGAGGCATATGAGAAACAGGAAGGAGGTTCTGTAATAAATAGTAGCTCCAAATAGCTCCAAATCTATTTTTAAACTAGCCGTCCCCTGCCACACGTTGCTGTGGTTCACATGGGGGTTCTGTGTTTGGCCCAATTCTATCATTGGTGGGATTCAGAATGCTCTGTGATTGTAGGTGAACTATAAATCTCAGCAACTACAACTCCCAAATGTCAAGATTCTATTTTCCCCAAACTCTACCAGTGTTCACATTTGGGCATATTGAGTATTCGTGTAGAGTTTGGTCCAGATCCATTATTGTTTGAGTCCACAATGATCTCTGGATGTAGGTGAACTACAACTCCAAAACCAAAGGACACTGCCCACCAAACCCTTCCAGTATTTTCTGTTGGTCATGAGAGAACTGTGTGCCAACTTTGGTTAATTCCATCATTGGTGGGGTTCAGAATGTTCTTTGATTGTAGGTGAACTATAAATCCCAGCAACTACAACTCCCAAATGACAAAATCAATTTTTTAAGTGAAGGACATACATTGGGTTGTTAGGTGTCTTGTGTCCAAATTTAGTGTCATTCGTCCAGTGGTTTTTGAGTTCTGTTAATTCCACAAACGAACATTACATTTTTATTTATATAGATGTTTATTGGATTAGATATTGCAGTTGTCTTTTCTCGCTTGAAATAAATCTTAACAGTGATTAGAATTGTCTCTTTATGGCAGAAATGTTGCTTATCAGATTAAGGTCTATTTCCATAAAGTTGTAGTTACTGTCATTTAAAAAAATCAACTGAAATTCATAACCGCATTGACAGATTCATAATCTACAGCAGGGCTTTTGAGACACACTTTCCAGCTATGCATCATTTCGCAGCACAGTGATACATTTTTACTACCAAACTAGAGGTTAAACCAGGGGTCCTCAAACTAAGGCCCGGGGGCCGGACATGGCCCTTCAAGGTCATTTACCCTCGCTCAGGGTCAACCTAAGTCTTGAAAGCACACAACAACAACTACAACAACCCTATCTCATCAGCCAAAAGCAGGCCCACACTTATTTATTTATTACTTATTTATTTACAGTATTTATATTCCGCCCTTCTCACCTCACAGGGAGCCCCCGGTGGTGCAGTGGGTTAAACCCCTGTGCCGGCAGGACTGAAGACCGATAGGTCGCAGGTTCGAATCCGGGGAGGGGATGAGCTCCCTCTATCAGCTCCAGCTCCTCATGCGGGGACATGAGAGAAGCCTCCCACAAGGATGATAAAACATCAAATCATCCGGGCGTCCCCTGGGCAATGTCCTTGCAGACGGCCAATACTCTCACACCAGAAGCGACTTGCAGTTTCTCAGGTTGCTCCTGACACGACCAAAAAAAAAAACCCCACAGTGGATTCAGGGCGGGTTACAATGTACATATACATGGCAAATATTCAATGCCATTGACACACAACAGATACACAGAGGCTATTTAACATTCCAGCTTTTTTAATGAGGGTATTCTGGCCACCAGGGGAGCTCTAGCTTCACCTCCATTTGTGACACGGACGAAGTACTTCCTCATTCTTTGCATGCTTGCTGGAGATTTTTATGGTGTCGTTAAGTAGCCTCCCCGCATAAGCGGTACCTAAATTTCCTACTTGACATATGCAGCTGTCTTTCGGGTTGCAAAGGTCGACAGCAAGCTACACAAATTGGTCGGAAGCTCACTCCGACCTGGGCTTGTTTCGAACTCATGACCTTTTGGTCATTAGTGATCTTAATGCAGCTGACTCCCAGCCAGATGCTCCACAGTCCCGGTGCTGATTAGTATTTCACTTCCCATTGAAATACTAATACGTTTATATTTGTTAAAATTGTTCTTCATTTTAATTATTGCATTGTTTTAGTGTTTTCTGCACTACAAATAAGATATGTGCAGTGTGCATAGGAATTCATTCATGTGTTTTCAAATTATAATCTGGCCCTCCAACAGTTTGAGGAACTTTGACCTGGCTCTCTGTTTAAAACGTTTGAGGACCCCTGGGTTAAACCAACCCCTTGTAAGAGATATGGACACATATATAAACGGTAGCAATGAATTCTGTGAAGGCACAACATCCTCATGAAAACCTTTCATTTATATTTTTAAAAACATGATTTGTAAGGTAATAACAAGCATTTCCAAGTTTTATGTTGTTCCCCATTATGTTGGTACAACAAACCTACTCACTACCTAAGCCTGAGTATCATAACAGTTCTCAATCAGAGGTATAGTAGTGATATATCAGAGGGCAGGGTGGGCAAGAGACGCTGTTTGGTAGACTGTATTTATCTGAATAGCTGATCTAGAATCTCAGCCATGATCTGCATTTTTAATATTTTCATATGGTTATCGTCATGCGTTTGAAAAAGTGAGCTGCAGTTCATTAAAGTTTAAGCCAAATAAAGCATGTTATTTTTGAAGCCACTGAGTCCCTTCTATTCTTTTTTTAAAAAAATCATTTGGCATTCTGCTCTTAAGGCTCTTAAGTAGCCTGCCATAACACTTATTGTCAGTCTCAGATAGTTTTTTAAATTTTACTTCCTACCTTTAAAAAACCCCAAATATTTAAGTTTACTAAATTATTTAATTTAATTTGTCTAGATCCATCTTAAAACAACATGTGATATCCCGACACTGTTATATATTTAGTGTGGAAACTGTGTAATGGATCTGTATCTGAACTTCATGAAAGTCAGTAGCTAAGTCTGGAAAATAGTTGTTTTGTAAGAAACGAATGCCTTTTGTTTTTGTGGTCTTGTACACAGTAGAATAGTAAGAACATATGTGTTGTTCACTAGCACTTCAGGACAAGAGCCAAATGTATTATTTCTGGGTACAGTTCAACTTTTAAATTGTACAGAGACAAGTTCTTAAGTCTTGGACTGTGCTGTGGAATTGATTCAGGGAGAAACATAGGCAGAACTTCACAATTGATTGCATTCAGAACTGCAATTGAGGAGCAAGATGAATAAATAAATGCAATCTGGCTCCCTTTTACATTCGACTGATGGGTTGCGAGGGTTCATACTAGCACCTTCATTTTCTTTTTAACAACAAAATAATTTGGTAATTTATTTTTTTAGCTGCCACAACAACCAATAGCTAAAATCCATCCTTTGCTTAATATGCAGTCCTCCATCTGGCTTGCTGTCAGGCAGTTGGCATGTGACAAAGTCAAGTTACATGGGATACACATTTTGATTATTCAGTGTAAGCAGGTTTTCCCCCTCTTTTTAAAAAAAATAGGTCTCTCCACAGCCACATATGTAAATGCACATTTGTATTAACAAGTGCATATTTTCAAAATTGGAAACTTAATGGTGAAGGAATAACTTTTTGTCCTTCTCTGGGGTACTGCAAGGATTTCTACATTTCTGCTTGAAGCACTCTTACTGGCAACCAAAAATACCACTTCTTGCATTTTTAAGAGAAACCTACTTCCTCCTCCCAGACATTCCAAGCAGTCTTTCATAGCCAACACATTTCTGTATTATGGCACGCCTCACTTATGAGAAGGCTACTGTTCATGCCGGGGTACGTGGCATGCAAGGTGGCCTCTGGCCAGTGGCGGAAAGCCAAATTCCAAGCCAAGCCATACTCAGTGCCATAATAATTTGTCGAGTCTACCACAACTTCCAGGAAGCTGCAGCCAATGAAGTATATTTGTCAGATAGTTACTCTACCATTCAATATCCTCTCAAGGGGGGAAAACCCCAGTTGTGTTTCTAAAAGATCGTGGGAGAGTGTTTCTTTGAGCAAAGGAAATAATAATAATAATAATAATAATCATCATCATCATCATCAAAAACCACTGGACGAATTGACACCAAACTTGGACACAATACACTTATCAGGCCAATGAGTGTCCATCACCCCTAAAAACACACAAAAAACCCAGCAGAATGGACTTAAACCCCACCCCCCCAAGTAAACTATATATACATATACACATACACACACACACACACATATGTACACAAGCACACACAAATATACACATACATATAGACATGCACACATACATGCACACATACACATATTTACATGTACGCATGCATACATACACACATAGACACATACAGACACACACACATATATGTACACAAGCACACACAAATATACACATACATACAGACATACACACATGCATACATACACACATATTCATATACACATATATACACATATATACACAAGCACACACATATGCACAATATACTTATACACATATAAACACAGAAATACACACATATATACACACATATGCATGCACACATATATACCCATCTATCTATATATTTGTGTATATATTTGTGTATATGTGTATATATGTGTGTTTGCATATATAGATAGATAGATAGATAGATAGACATAGTTATAGATATATACACATAAACACACACACAAAACATATATACAGACTGGGCCACAGCAACGCGTGGCAGGGGATGGCTAGTAATAATAATAATAATAATAATAATAATAATAATAATAAACAAAGTATGGATTGTCAATGTTGCAATCCCAGGTGACAGCAGGATTAAATAATAATAATAATGATAATAATAATAATAATTATTATTATTATTATTATTTATAC